TTCCCTATCAATGAATCTGGAGCTTTGAACTCAATGAAAATGGACAAGTTTAATTGCAAAAAAACGAGACTCTGGTGGAAAGACTTCCAGCAGATGAGAGTCGAGGGACCTGCCCTAATTCACTTCTAGCTCTGGGCAAGTGAACTAAATATGCAGCCTGGGGGGTTTTTGTTTGTAATGTGGGCACCTGGATAGGCTATGATGGAAATGAAGTAAGAGAGCTCACAAATTAAAATGTCATGCTAATGCATGCTCATCCAGTGGGTTGCTGAGCTGGGTGTTGTCTTCTCTGAAACCCAGAGGAGACTTGTGCTTTAGGAAACCATGAAGGTATGATTCAGAGGAGACTTGTCCTGTAGGACACCATGAAGGCATGAAGTACAAGAAATTATCCAAGGATAACACATTCAAAAATAACAACCAAGAGTAAGCCCTAAAATTCAGCAGCTGACCAAGTGCTGGCTGGTGGGAGCACACGCTGATAGGTAGACACCCACTTTTGTGGACAAACCCTGTCTGCAGTGAGCTCTCTACCCTGAAGAACAGATGGTCCCAGGGAGACAGCCCAGCAGCCATTTTGATGTGTGGACTGCCATTGATGGTGATCATACATGAACTCAGCCTAGGAACACCAGAACCCTGAGAACATCTGGATTAATAGTCTTTCAGAATAATGAACATGGGGTTGCTCTGAGTGGGGAAAGAAAAGGAGAAAACACCACATGTCTGGAACTCCATTAGAGGTTGTGGTTTTGCTTGCTTCATCCCATGAACCTGGAGCCAAACCTCTGGCTTTTACTGAAGGACTCTACTAGACTTTCAAAGAGTCATGGATACTAGGAATATGTACATGTAAAGAAACACATTTTCAAAAAGAAACATGGCTGTGAGGGATAAATGTTTTTTGTTGTGGTCTACTAAGATTGGGGGTTGTTTGTTACTGGGTCTTTTTTATTTGTTTTTTTTGTTTGTTTGTTTTTGTTTTTTGCAACAAAAGTTCACAGCTACATGGTACTGTTTTGCAACAGTGAATAAATAAATAAATATGTTCATTGTTAACATAAATAAAAAACACAGAACAGTCTCCAAAGACAATGAATTTGGGGAGGAGTAAATACTGCAGTATTTGTTCCAAGTTGAGCGTGGTAGTGCCATCATATACAAAGAACTACAGTCAACTAATGACTACTGAGAGAGAATTAACCTCTCCCCAAGAATGAATCCCTTTACTGGTTGTCCAATGCAGCTAAAATCATATACATACAACAAAAACAGACACAGCAAGTTGTGTTTATATGTGCATATAACTATACAGAGACATATATATTTGTGTGTACACATACATATATATGTAGCAACAATGGAGAAAAGGAGACTATCAGCCTGGGAGCAGGAGAAGGACATGGGAGGAGTTTCAAGGAGGGTAGCTGGGAGGGGCTGGTGGGAAGAAAGGGAGGGGAGGAGGCAATGCAATTCTAATTCAATGAAAAACAGATTTTAAAAAAGAATATTTATCCCATGGTAAAGTAAAAAGCCCCCCAACCCACACAAATGTTCAGGGACACAAATGGAGACAAGAGTATTAAGGTAAATAGAGCGTGCATAGTTCTTTTGAAGCAATTGTTCTTGGCTATGGGGACTAATGATTGGGGCTGGAGGCCCTTGTGAGCAGATGCCCTTGAGAAAGCACTTTTTGGTGTAAGGTTGTTGAGGCCTTTGGACGAGGCTATGGTTCCAGTTTGTCCTTATCAGACAGACGGAAAAAGGTGACGTTCCTTTCTGCAAGACTTCCCGGCCTTAACTTTTGTTGTTGTTGGGCCCAAGTGACTTCACTTGTCTTTATTTATTTTAACTGAAAATATTTTTTTCATGCAAAATATTCTGAGCACGGTTGCACTCCCCCAGCTTCTTCCAGATCCCCCCCTCCGCACCCATCAAACTCCATGCCTTCCCTCTCTCTTTAGGAAATACACAAACAGGTAAACAAACCAGAAGGAAAAAAAATAAAGAGAGAAAAAGCATAAGAAACACACACGTACACAAACAAAACCCATAAAAACACAAAAAAAACAAAAGAAAACAAGAAAATGCCCGAACAAAGCGACACGAGACAGAAAGTCTACACAAACACCACTGAGATCATTTTGTCGGTCATCTGCTGGTGGTCATGGGACCCGCCCTTGGGTGTGGTTTGTGTGCCCCGTGAGACTCCATTGGAGAAACCAAGTTTTCCTTGGGGAGCGCAGATGTGACTTCATTTTTATTCCAACGGATTTCACAGTATTTTATAAAGCAACAACAAATCAGAGCGTGGATGGCAAACAAATCTTGCTTTTTCTACTCACACTATTTTTGCCTTTTGACACGCGTGTCCAAATAACTTCCTCCCTCCCTCCCTCCCTTCCCTCTTTCCTTCCTCCTTCCCCTCTCCCTCTCTTTCCTCCCCCCTCCTTTTCCTTTTCAAACCTTTCAGAATGTCCCCTTGTGTGCAGATCCTCTGAGCGCTGCAGCGGGTGGGTGGAGATGGCGGAAGGAGCCTGGGAGAGGAGCCCTGGGGGGCTGAAGCCTCTCTCTCCACCTCTGCTTCTCTTCTCACACGGGACACCTCTACCTCTCCCACCTCACTCTGCAGTGGCAGCGCTGTTTCCCACAGGACTGTTTTCCCTGCTGCCTTTGTAGTGGTTGGGTGGGCAGTTTGGGAGCCACGTTGCCCAGGGAAGCCTGGAGCCACCTGCTCAGCTCGGCAACTGGGCTGGCATCGCAAGTCATTGCTCATCAGAGTTCTCCGACCAGAGGCTTGGGTTAGTCTTGACTCTCAAAGAGGGTACACATTTTTATATACCCAAATTTACCTTAAGAGACTGGCTCAGAGCCACGTGGTTTAGTGGCTCACCCCTTTAATCCCAGCAAACAGGAGGCAGAGGGAGGCAGATCTCTGTGAGTTCAAGGTCAGCCTGGTCTACATAGTGAATTCCAGGACAGCCAGAGCTGTATATCAAGATCTCGTCTTGAAAACAAACAAGCAAGAGACTGGCTTATGTGGTTGCGGGAGCTCACGCATGCAGAATGTGCAAGGCAGACAGGCTGTAGGGCCCAGCAAGGATGGATGGAAGCTCAAGGCTGAAGGCCAACTGGGGTGGAAGGATCCTTCCCTGGGCATGCTTTTTGAAGGCCTATCATGAGTGAGATGAGGCCCATCTTCATCACAGAGAGGTCTGATGATGTGTGTGTACACATGTGTGCAGGTGTACTTGTGTGTGTTGGGCAACTCGGGTGTCACATGTCAGCAGCATTTTTTTTTTTTTTTTTTTTTAGGCAGAGTCTCGCATCAGCCTGAGGTTTGCTGATTGGCTAAGCTGGCTGCTCACTGAGCCCCAGGGATCCTGCCCTGTCTGCCTCCCCAGTGCTGGGATTTCAAGTGTGTGCCACAAGGCCTGTTTTTTAATACCTGGGACCAGGCTTGGGTCCTCACGCTTATGGGAAGCGCTTTACCGACTGCGCCATCTCCCCAGCCCACGTCTACTAACTTTAATGTTAGTTTAACTTATAAAACATCTTTTCACTAAAGGCATCAGTCTTCTGCCCCCCACAGGGCCCCCAGTCCAACATCCCCATGATGCCTAAGACAGTAGCTGGGCCTGAGCTTTACGTAGATTATGATTTTTTTTTTTACTGTACACATGAGTATTACAATTTACTTTGTAAACTAGGTACATATTAATAACAATAATATGTAGGATAATTTCAGCAATATACCGTAATACAATTGCCAGAGTCTCTACTCTTGTTCTTTGGGTCATTGATAAGTGAAATAAAAGTTGTTGAACACAAGCCCTGTGGCACTGTGACAGTTTGCTAGCAGAGATAGCTACCGAGTGACTACGGGCAGGGAGCGTATACGGTGTGGATAAACCAGACAAGCGCCGATTCCCGTTCCAGGTGGGATGGAGCAGAGCACATAAAGGTTTTTACTAGAAGGTGTGTGGCTGCAGCTCACAACTCTTTCGTTTCTGATTTTTCATTTAACGAGTTTAGACCACAGTGAACTTTAGACAATGGAAGGCACAGGGGGCAAAGACTTAGATGGGGTGGGTGTGTGTGATGTGGGGCAGGGGTGGGG